CATTCAACTGCATAGAGTGAAAAGAGTCTAAGAAAAGCTTTAATCTGGCAAACAAAACACCTGGAAAACACCAGATTATGATCACAATAAGGACGACCAGAAGAGATAGTAAAAAATTGGATAATAGTGAGGCAAGAGGCCTTGTAGCAAATTGTTTCCTTGGCACTTTCGGTCACACATCTGTGGGAAAAACACTAAAGCAACAAGTGGCCATCGGAGCACAGTAAAGATCTCTGTGAGCTTTAACACACAAAGCGAGGGAATCCACAGGAAGAGGACAGGGACGGGTAGAAAGGACAGGAGCATCAAACTGGCCAAAAACTCCTTTCAGACAGAAAAGCAAACACCGTTGTTGAGGTTACTATTTATCTCATGCCAGCCAAGTTGGCACGCACATCTGGCGGTGGGTACTTAGTGCAATTATTTATGATTTCCTCCAAGATTTAAAAGCTCTTCGCCCGGCCTTGTAATGCAGTAACTGATTGCACTGCTAATGTAATTAAGGGGAGATTATGATGTCCACGTGGCACACCAGATGGTGGCATTCACAGCAATGGGGGAAGGCACAACTGGCACACCACTGCACAAGGGCAGTGAGGCGCAGTCAGTCGGAGCAGTCCAGACTCCCCACCAGAAGGAGGAAAGTATACGTGCGTGTGTGTGCGGGTGTGTGGATGGGTGGGCGGATGGATGTGAGGTCCGTGCACACAGATGCATGACAGTATATGAGCATGTATTTGATGATAAGTTGAGCAGGAAAGTGTTAGCTAATGCAAAACAGCACCAAGGAAATTCCAGATTCACATCCATAGTAAAAATTCAGAGTCTGTCTGGGAATTTATTTCAGTTATACAGTTCAAAAAGTGAAACTCGCACTGTGTATCATCCAAACTTGTCACAATTACAATAATGTATTTTGAGTATTTATTTCAAAACAAATGCAAAAAATACAACTTCAGATGAAAAAAAAAAAATAAAAATCATAAAGTAGTAATACTGCACAAAGACTAACAACCTTCTAATGAAAGGTTGTTTCATTAGAAACAACCTTATTACAGCTGTCTTCTGTAATAAAGAAGACAGCTGTTCACAAAGTGCAGTATGCAAGTTTAATGAAAAGTTGAGTGGAAGGAAAAAGTGTGGCAAAATTCTACTTGCAGCCACTCCTGAACTGAAAACAAAGTCAGAAGAGTCCAGGGAAAAAGTTAGTGGGTGATTGCTTTTGTACGCCGTCATCTTTTCAGTTGGATGTAAATTTTGCATCTCATTTGGAAGTTGCTTTAGGTGCCACTTCACCTGATAGTGTTGAGTCAGACTGTTTTTGTCAAGTTCAAAGCCAATGCATTTAAGATCATTTAACGCTTTGTTCTGCTGAAGAGTTTTATGAAGATGCTCATTTCATTTTCCTGCAAGACTTTGCAGCTGCAGAGATTGACAAAAAATACCAATTTCTGCCTTTTTTGATTACTGTTTCAATGTGAATAATTTGCCTTAAAATATTTTCTTGACCCAAAGGCCCCAACGAGCATCTGGAGCGTGTAATTAATAGGAAGACAAAAGCCCAGATATTGAGTGAGTAAACTGTACAGTAACTCCACATAAATTATTTTTCAGTAGGTGTCACTGTATTAAAACATTCTTTGTGACATAATTACATTACATTACATTTTTGGTCCAATGTAATGCAATGTAATTATCACGAGAAACTCAAACTTTACTTCTAAGCCATAGTCTTTTAAATGAACAGAAAAATCCCACAAAGTATGTCACTGTCTGTGCTTTTTAAAATAAATGTGATCGTTAAATCTGATGCACTTTTCTTTGCATTAGTTAAGCCACTCAATCAACGAGACTGAATGCCAAAAACTCAGAAGTGCATGAATAAAAATGAAAACCTGCACTTTGATTTTAGAACGTGGATTTTTACACGCAAAAGCAGCCCGACGACGTACTTTCAACCATAAGCTTGCTGAATCAGAAAATAAATATAACAGTTCATACATTTTAAACCCTTACAATTCAATGTTTTAGTGAGGAAAACAGATGGGGTGAATGTAAAATTAAATCACATTTGGACAATCCATCATGTTTCCGAGGACTTTCCCAGCCAGGGCGACAATGAGACCTGACCAAACTGACCTTTAATTAGAAAGAAGCATGACATTATGGAGCCTTGCAAGGCTGTATCCTTTGGGGGGCTCTAAGGGTAGGCTTCTTAAAGCTGGTTATTATAAGCCATTCAAGAGACACGGGGATTTGGTTTTCTGTGTGTAGACAGAAAAAAAAAGTGAGGAGGAGAGGAGGGGGCTGTGGGTTATGTATAAAATGAGACCTGCAGATTTCTACATAGCCCATAATGGGTTCATGTGGGTGACATTGGGACTGTGTAGATTTCCCAAGTTGAGATAGGGATAATATTACTCTTGGGGTAGCAGCACAGAAATTTCCATCTTCAGTCCCTACGCTGGTGTCAGCAAATTACAGATTGCAATAAATGACCTTTAGACATAAAAAAGAACCTTTCCTTTTTCTTCTTTTTCCATCACTTATGTGGGAAGTTATTCAAAGAAAAAAAGGTAGAATTTTGGGTCCCAGTGCTTGTCTGTTCTCTGTTAATTAAAACTCAGAACGAACAGCGTTCAGATTGATGTTTAGAACACGATAAGATGTTCAGGCAGGTCAGCGCGAGTTGAAATAAAGCCGATGTCAAACAAAAGGTGAAAACAGCAATCGCAGCTCTAATGAATCTTTTCAAAACGCCAACCCGTAACACCCTGCACCTCCCGCTGGTGGCTCCCCTGCAGAAACCTGCCACAGCCATCATTCATCTTACCCCGCAATCCTCCGCGTGTGAGGCGGCGCCCGTTAAAAACACTGTAAAAGCTGATGATTTTCACAGTTAGCATGTGTTGCTGATGACTCCACTCTCGACGAGAGCTTCATCACCTCTTCCATAATTAGACCATTACTTTAGCAGGTGCACCTCTCTTCCAAACCAGATTAAACGCATGCATGTGTTGTAATTTTTTTGTTTTTGTTGGTGCTATTCCTTTCAACAGACGCCTTTGAATTCTTTTGCTCTCAACTGTGCCAAAAAATTCAACGCGCCTTCTCCGTTGTGCGTCAACACCTTGATATGGTAGCATGTGTCGGTAGGATCTTGTGCGTGTGAGGGCGGGAGTGATGACGTGGGGTGTAAATGCAGACGAAGGAGTGAGATTATTGAAAAAGGAAATCTCTGATCAAATACTTTTCTCTGCTCCGATCGTTTGCCACGGAAAGCAGCATCAGTGATGATAAGCAGCACTGAGCTGCTGCGTGTCATTGGAGGTTCGGCGTTTGGCAGCGGGGCTCTATCTCCATAAATATTTTCCTGCCAGTCACTTCTGAATTAGTCTGACTTTACGCACACTGCCACGCCTGCCTTCACAATTCCAGTTTCAGACCCTGGATTGTGAAATCAAACAAAATAAAGGTTCAGCACCTGTGATTTCAATTCATACAAGAAATTATTTTTTGTTTGTTTGTTTTTAGATCACATGAACACTGCCTCATGCGTCTCAAAAATCCAAATCTAGGAATGATGTCACATTAAAGATGAGTTGGTTCCAGCTGCAAGTCGGAAAACCTGAGGGGATTTTCCAAATGTTGGGGTGAAAACTACTATTAGCAATATTTTCCAAACACTAAAATAAGATTAAAAATAGATATCAAACATTACAATGTGTAATCAAACATTACAATATGTAATGTTTGATATATATGCTTTAATGAGAGACAAAATAATAAATTCTTAGTTACTAATAAAATAGTATATAACTACATATTTCTCTGCATATTAGTTTCTGACCTGAGGGTGTATTTTTGTTGTACTGTCTGCTGGGAACAGCAAACTTTCAAACAATAGTAGGTCTCAGGTTTGAATAGATCCTCTCTTGCTTGTTTTATTACTTTTAAATTATTATTTTACCTACATGTTTGTGCAGACTCCAGTTTAATTTTTTCATTGTTCCTTTTGTCCTTTTTTTGCTTCCTTCCTTGTTTACATTGTTCATCTATCTATCTATCTATCTATCTATCTATCTATCTATCTATCTATCTATCTATCTATCTATCTATCTATCTATCTATCTATCTATCTATCTATCTATCTATCTATCTATCTATCTATCTATCTATCTATCTATCTATCTATCTATCTATCTATCTATCTATCTATCTATCTATCTATCTATCTATCTATCTATCTATCTATCTATCTATCTATCTGTCTATCTATCTGCTATGCACAGAGTAAAAAAAAAAAGTGAAAAAAAAAACTATCAGAAATGTAAAGAAGTTCAGCTGTCAGTGATTAGCCGCAGAAGAAACAATCCACCGACATATGGCGCCATGTAACAGAGCAGAGCAGCAAATCTCAGGTTTTAATTAACTGAAAGATGGTATCATTGGTGTAGTGATGGTAGAAATAATAAACCTGATGATGGGGAAGCATCTGTTGCCTGCTGGTCTTTTAGAGAGCCTACAAAGAGGCTTTTAACTTCTGCGCTCAGGGAGATGCATGACTTGGCTAATGATGTAAGGGCTTAAGTAAATTCATTGCTCTGTCTTACTTTTATCTGATTACAGGAACGACATGTGATAACTTTTAGAGAGACACACAGCTGTCAGGCGGCCCCCGACCCCGGGATGCATGAGAGTCAAAGTGCAAGACAGCCGCAAATGTAGTTACACAAATAATTATTAGGCTGGATAAGTTATGGCAAAGAAATAAAGCCTCCAAGAAGTTAACAAAGCAAACTGAACCGTTAACTAGTTTTGGTCTGGTCTTTGGTGAGTAATGCAGATAAATAGATAAAGAGACTTTGAACCGGACAGCAGACATTTGTGACGTCACTCTGTGGACTTTCAGGTTAATTATTACCAATATGCGACACCCGGAAGTGTTGAAGCTTCATAACACGGAGGCAAAGTTGAGCTGAAGAGGCAAATATCAGACATTTTCACGTAAAAAAGGTAACTATACAACAGCTAGGATTATTTGAGGTGTTTGGCCTCATTTTTGTGTTCCGGTTAGAGTCACAAGTGTACGTGGAAAGTGTGGCCAAAAAGCTTCACTAAACCGGATATACTTCTGACAACTATATATATTAGTGTTGTTAATCTGTCGACAGGCGTTTCAGTCAAACTATACAGCAGCTCCTCCTAGAGTAGTCATTATCATTGTAGTGTTTTGTTATTGAACTTTCTCAGTTATACTTTTATTAAAGAAAGCATCCAGGGTTTCAACTGCCGTACAGAAACATGAGATGTAGCCTTATGTACAAAAACTTTGGATATGATCAGAATGAAAATGTTAATCAAATATTTACAAACAGTTTGATCAAATAATAACACATTGTAATTTTATTTGCATTATAATAACGTTCTTCTTCTTTAATTGCAAGTTTATTGACTAAAAAATATTGTTATTAATATGGAGGGTTTCTAATCCCTACAATAGACCTATCAGTTATCTTGATAAAAGCTCCACTTTACACATATGTAAATTTTATTGACACTTCTATAATATTGAGGAAAGGGGATTAAGTTTCTTTTTTTGTATAATTTAACTGGGCTTTTCTGTTTTTTTTTTTTTTTTAGTCCTTGAGCACTGATTTGGGTTTGGGAAAAAAAATAACTAATTTGAACAAATTAATGTTATAAAGATATCTTTCACCCCATTGGCTAAATGGCCATTCGGTTTCATTTGAATAAGTACAGCTATCTAGCATTTGTTAACGAGACAGCATGTTTCTGGAGTAAATCCTCTAATTTGATCAGCTTAATTGCAATGGATTTTGTAAATATAAAGATTGAATGCTGCAACTTTGTCAGTTACTGCAAGATCGCTTTAGACCTAATCTAATAAAACTGCATAAGAGAACCTTTGCAAAGCCACTTACCCGGTAAAAAGGCTTGCATATCCATTAGGCAAAAATTCCCTTAGACAGAAATAGATAGCAATTGATCGGGACTTCCTTGAAAATATGTGATCGCTCTCCCCTAATCTGCGATTTGGTGAAGTCAGACGGTGGTCTCCGAATGCTGTTTTGTCACTGGTCTCACTTGTCATTTGATCCCGGATTAGGCGCCCGCTTTTTCTTCTAGAGCCTAATAGGCCTCATCAAGAAGTCAATAATGTAGCCATTTAGACTAAGAAACCCCCCGTTCCTCCTGCAGGTCAGCATTGTAAAGGACGTAATTGTCATTTTCTTTCACCTTTTGCACATTTGGTTTTGTACTTATTGCTAAATTTTCAAGTTTTCCTTTTCAAAGAAGGTGATTTAAAAAATGTTTTTCTGTGTCACAATGAAAAGTGTCACATTGCATTTTGATGCTCCTTTGCTTTTCTAACAGATCTCCAACATGTCTGAAGAGAGCAACAAGCTGGACCCCGTCTCTGCAGTCGGAATAGTGAGCTCACTCAGCAAAACCCCTGAGGGCTACTATGTTGTGAGTAGAGGTGCTATAAGATGATCCTAAATAACTGGATAAGGAACGACACAGGGATAATGACTCTTCATCACTGGCTAATAGAAATATTTCAGCATTTCTTTACTCTTATCTTATAAAAAGTTGCATTTGCGTTAAAAGGATAGTGTGATGATTTAGGCAAAATGCCTCAAAAAAGTATCCAGACCCCTAAGTTTCTTGAATTGTGTTAAATTATAACCACAAACTTTATTGTAAGTGATTAAGATAATAATATACCAACATAAAACGTCACTGGATATTAAAAATCTTTAAAACTATGAAGGGTGCAGACCAGATAGATCAAGGATGACGATGTGGAGAAATCCTCTCCACACTGTGATCACTTATTTACACACAAACACTTACACTGATGGCAGGAGCGTGCAAAGTGATCCGCTGCCATCTGGAGCATCTTGAGGCTCCATGTCTTGCCCAAGGACACATGGACAGGTGGACAAGCTGGGAACGCTAAAGCTTGCAGTAGATAACTTGTTCTCATATCTCGGCCAAATCTGCTGTCAGCTAGCTTCCTTTTGTTGACAATACTCTTGTGTTATGCTACAATACTTGCAGTTTGACTTAATGAAATGCAACATTTAGCTTAAATGTCCTACTGTGCATTCTTCTTTTTAAGTTATGAGAAAAAAGTAAAAGAGATGAGTTTAGCTGTCTAATGCTGATTTCTTTACATTATTAAAAAGTCCAAATTTCAAGTTAGTGACAAGTAAGAGTTTGTTAGTGTTTGTCTCTATATTAAATGTGACAGCCGCCATGTGTTAACCCTGAGGCAAGATGTTTGCTCTTCCAACTTAAAAACGACAATGTTTCGATTCATTAGAAATATGATCACAGTTGTTGTCATTAATCTTGTTCCCCGTGCCTTATGGGAATTTCCCTTTTAGAAATGTACAAAAATTTTAAAGAAAAGAGTATAATCAAGTCAGAAAAAGAAACGTTTTGCTGTTATATGCTCCAAGCAAATCTCAAAGTACAACAAAAATAATTACAAATGTAACATCAGCAAAAACATTAACAGGAAATAAATCTGTACTTTTAAAAAAATACAAAGTGTCAAAAAAAGTGAACCCTTTAATTTCTGTTTCTCATTTTCTCTGTGTTTTTTTGTTGTTTTTAAGCGTGATTTCCTTTCAGCAATTTGACCTGTGTTTTGTTTGACCCTACTACTGTGAAATACAGACATAGTCAGAAGGTCACTGAGAATGAAGGAGTTGCAGAGAGTAGCTTGGTCAAGGCTACCGGAGTTGAAAAGTGGAATTCCTTCCAAAATTTATAAACATTATGAGATCTGTGCTGTTCTTGAGCCTCTAATGTTTCTTAAAGGCTCTGCTGAACTTGATGTTTTGGTTGTTAATATATTTTTTATTTTTCAAGAAATTGAGTCTAAGTACAGTGTTAGCTAAATTGTAGGAAAGCTCACAATTTTACACTGCAATGCCTTATTGTCAGGCTCTCTACAACAATCCCCATAGCTCTGAACTGTCCACAGACAATGGTAAACACCTTCTCTGCTTTTTCAGAAATAAATGTCAATCATCTGCAAGACGATTTTCCAGAATCTTTCATATGTATGTTTTTGATGAAGATGTTAGGGGACATTGTGTTTTTTCTTGGTGAAGGACAAAACTGATGCAGAAGAAATTTAGAAAAATTGTTTCTTCAGCATCATGTGATGGATTTTCAATGAACTCTTTTTACAATTTTTTTGTGCTAATTTGTTATTAAACAAGTTGTAATTTTATGTCTAACTAACTTGTTTCAGGACTGAGTTTGACTCAATGCAGCTGGTGTATTTATCCACAATTTCTTTTTCTCACCTTGATTTTTACATTAATTTACTGTTGATAGTGAATCAAGCATTGAGTAGGATGACTGATTATTTGCCAGCACTTAATACGTTTCATCTTAAAACTAAAGGAACTGACTAAAAACCGCAATTTTAAAAATGTGTTACGGTTTGTTGCACATTGCAAGTGTGTGAACGGCATAATGCACAGTCAGAATGTTAGCAGCTTTCTATGAGGTTGTTGACATGTTAGATGACTTATTCATAGAGTTTTGCTTTGATGGTTCTGAGATTCCCGTTTATCTGTTGCCATCACCACTCCACAGCTAAATTGTTAATGATATTTGGCCAATCCTATAATATTTCAATTTGTCCTCGATTTGTTTTTAACACGCAGCAGTCTCACAATAACAAAAGCGGGCCATGATGTGAAGCATTGAAGTTCGACCTGACTCAGAACATTTTTTTGTTGTTGTAAATCAAGTTGGCGCGGGTTGAAAAGAGAGGAGCATGTGAAAGTTAAACAAAGCTCCAAACAAGCTCAGGGGCAGATCTCTCTTCCTCTTTCTCGCTCTTCCTATTCCGAACTATTTTTTTTACACCCCATGCCCGCAGTCCCTCCTTCTTCCAGTTCTTATCTCTTCCTGCTCCACCCTACACACCCAGGTTGCTGGAATCTCTGGCAGATGATGGTGGGTGGAATAAGAATGAAGCCACAGGCAGGAAGACTGCATGCACATCACAGGATAGTGACAAACAGAAAGAAACCCCATCAGACTTCTCTCCTGTATGCAGCGCCGTAGAGCATTAATACATTTTGGCTGATGTGCAAATACCATTCTGGGTGCGGGGGGGGGGGGGGCAGTACAGGAAGAGTTTACAGTCTAAAAGTAAATCCACATTCTCCGTACTTGAGAAGAGGATGGTGGGAGTGTAGATCTGTAAGTGATGGATGATCACACATCCGCAAAAACAAAGCCAATTCTCGAACTGAAGGCGATACAATTTTTAAAATGAACACAAAGATAATTTAGTGAACATTATGACGCTGTTGAACTACTGTACAGATAACCAACCAAATAAGTATTTTTGTTAGAGATGAGTTAGGAGTTAGGTAAGTTATTGAACACTTGAGATTTTCTTTTTATAATAACATATCACGCTGACATTAGAATTTGGTAAATAAAATGGTTTTTAATTTTTCTGCAAAAGTAGCATCAAACTACATTTACTCTATTAGGATTGTATGACACTCAGTAGCTGTGGTCGCGTTTTATGGTCATATTTCTATAAGAAAATGAACTTCTCTCCAAGTTTCATGTCTTTTGATGCCTCTAATAAATTTTGTTCCCGTCGTGCCCTGCGCTTGACGCCGTCGGTCTTGCTGAATATGAGCAAGCCCACAGTATTGTACTACCTCTACTGTGTTTCATAGTGAAAATTATTTCTCTCAAGTAATGCATTGTGTGTAGCAAACCAGATTACACCTTGCTTACTTTTAACAAGGGTTTTGCTCTTGCCTTTCTTCCGTCTGTTTTCAGATGATGAACTGAACAGCTGTTCAAAGTTGGGAATATTCTTTTTATGTCCTAAACCTGCTTTAAACTCCTGTTAAACTTTATTCCTCACCCATCTGCTGTTTTCATTGGTCTTTATGATGCTGTTGGTTTAATGGCCCCTAGCAAACCTCTGGAGCCTTCGCAGAACAGCTGGGTCTATAGGAAGTTAAATTAAGCACAGGTTAACTGTGTTTACTAATTAGGGGATGTAGGAAGGTAGGTGGTTACACTGGATTTTATGTAGCATATTTGAGTCAAAGGGCTTGAATGCAAATGCACACTATACTCTTTTCACATTTGTATTTCTAAAAAATATATATATATATATTATATATATATATATATATATATATATATATATATATATATATATATATATATATATATATATAAACGTACATCATTTTCCTTCTACAATTATTAATTATTTTTGTGGCGGCTTATCCTGTAAAATCATTTGATTTCTCATCTTAAGTAACATCAAAAGCAGTGAAGAAAAACAATGTCAGAACATATTTAATAAAACTTTAATTTCCTTATTATGAGATTCTGTAAATTTTACACTTTGCCCAGAAACATTATGTCTTTTTTGTTATGTTTAAGCCCACCACTGAGTTTTCATCTTTCAGAGTTAATTTGAATATTTACATAGCTGAACAGAACATTTTATCACTGGAATTTTTAGGAAAAAAAAAAATATGTAACAACATTCTTTAAAGTGAACGTTTTTGAACATGATGTAGGCCTATCTGTAAAACTGACATACATTTTCCAACTGAATGGGTATATCAGTAGTTTTGTTGTAGATTAAGTCTGTAAAAATGTACCTTGCATTTACTTAATTTATATTTGTATGATAATGTATGTTAGCTCTTGTTTTTGTCAAGGCTACAGATTCAATTTTAAAACATTATCCTGCTTTTAGGCGTTTTCAGAAGTTGAGTAGAATATTTTGAGACTAATTTTTGTGTGAATCCTGAAACTATAAGCTCTTGATCAGGAAGCACAAAAAACAGAAATGCCAACTATTTTCTTTATTTTCATAAATACTGAAGCTAGAACAGCAGCCCTGCTTAGGAAAGCACGACACTCTTATATGCATATTTTTGGATCAGTGAATGTTGAAATCTTTATACACAAACCTCTATGCACTTTTTTCCCCTCAAGAGCCTGTTTTGATGTAACTTTCTAGTATAATATGTCTTTAAAACATCTTTAAAGCAATGCTACACGGTCTTTAATCTGCTGATTTGAGAGACATACAAAAATATCATCTTTACATATGGGCTCGCTTATCCAACATTAAAAAGTGGAGGTGTCAGGATATTAAGCTGTATATACATATATTTTTTTTAATACTAAAAATCTTCACAATCCTCCCTAATAGTGACTGCTCCACGCACTTTGAGCACATTTTACATGCAGATCAAAGGGCAGATTACCTCTTTTGCTCTCTGATATGGGGCTTTTACGTCTCTGAACTTGAGCAGGTTGATGCAACGCAAGGGAGCGCGGGCCCAGATCAAACGCCGTTCCACAGGGATGAGGAGTTTTGCCAGAGCACCAGCCACCACCCGACATCAAACACCACAAGCAGACTCTCACACGTTCACTCTCTGCGCAGGAGTTACAATCAGGACGTGCCAGCAAACTCTTATTCCCATTTTCAACTCAACTAATTGCTAGTTTGTTTAAACTCTCAACCCACAGGCTAAATGCCACACTATGGAGAATCATACAAATCTCAACAATAGTAATTTAATGAGATTTTTATTGTTATTTAGTTTTTGTCAGATAAACCTTGGATTTTTAATACCCTCTTCAAAGGCGTTCTCGTGCCCTTTGAAGTAAATTCTTTATTTTAGTTTTCACCGAGAGAACATAATTGTTTTCCTTTAAGATTACATGTTTCATAGTATATGACCAAGTATGATCCCTGTGTGTTACTAAATTTGACTTTTAGGGGTTGGAACATTGTAGAAAAAAATAGACGAACGATTCATTATTTTTTATATCAGCAGAGGTTTCTCAGAGCAATTACAGTTATGCAGTTGCTTTTCCCACAAAAACATCTCTTTCACGTTTGTTGAATTTGGAATGCAATGCTAGAAACACTATAATCTTAAATAAGATTGTGCTGCAAATAATAGTGGATAAAGTGGAGTTTGAACCCTGCTAATTAAGGTTTGGACCCAATTGAAAGAGAAAAAAATATCTAATTGGGGCATAAAGCATTTCTATACTCGATGTTATGAGACTTTATGCATTTACATAAGGTGCAATGGATCATTGGACAGAATGTGATTATTTTTCCTTTATTTTGTATATGTAAAATATGTCAAACATGAACATTTCTGGAAACTTATCAGACCTTTAGTGTAACTGAGCTGAGAAAGCCTGTATTTAGAGCTTTCCTTTCACAAAAAAAGGTTTGTCGAGGGACAAACCACGCCCTGATTCCAGCGAACAAGATCCACTCCAGCAGTTCAAACATTTTTCTTTGTGGTCAGACGTCATCGACAAACACAAATCTGTTGTCATTTGCTAGCTAAAATGCTGACGACAGGCTCTACTCATGTGTTTCCTGCTATGAAGTACGGTCACATATCTTCTGATCCAAAGGCTTCTGTGGTGTTTGTCATGTTCTTGCTTCTGTCTGAATTACTAGCAAGGGTCTGGATGAATCTTAGAGGCAGACAGGAACATTTGCATTTTAACTTGCATCGGTTGTTGTTAATTTCAATGGTAATTAAGTTTGATAATGCGCTAATCAGGATGTTTGATACCAAGTCTGACAAATAGATAAAATATGTCATGTATTTGCGATAAATTCACACTATGTGCAGATTAGGGGATACAAATTCAGCAACTTCTGCAACTTTCGGACAGCCAATACTAATTGTCAGCGAGGAGTTGACAACACTGCATAGGCCAGAGAGCCAGTCACATAACACAGAACCTCCATAAGAGATTACACAAGTAAAGGGTGAAATACATTTGGACAGTCAAGGAAGACCCAGATTTATTATAGCACCTGCCGTACAATGAACATGAATATTTTTCTTAAGAGGAGTTTAATCTCAAAACTTTTTATTTAGATTATTTGGATGAGCTGACCTTCCCTCCAGCAATCATTGTAATATATCAATCAATGTAATCTAAGAAAGTATTAGCTTCCCAATGGTGTATACAGGAAACAGTTGAACTTTGAGAGATTAAAAGATTGCACATCTTCAGTCATGTCATTCCTATTTTCAGTTCAAAGATAGGATGTAAAGCATTTTATTTTCCATGCTGTCAAATTCTACTTTGAAGGGAATGTTTGATTTGCTCCACCTGTCCCGTTTCTTTTTCACCTGGCTTCACTCTCCAGGGATTTTTTTTTATTATTATTATCATTTTGAGCCTTTATCTTTGAATTCACAGCCGTGCCTTTTAGTGCTTTGCAGCTCTTCGCCGGCATTGTCTGTCTCCAGAGATGTTTCATACAGTAGCAATATTAATCATCCCCTCAAGACATGTTTCACAGGTGGGCTCTCAGATCACTGCAAGTGGCAGGTGATTCTGTCTTTGCATTTTAAATCAAATGATATGACATATTTCAATATCACAGCGATGATGTCTCTTATCATACATGTGACATTCCTCTCATTGAAGTCTGTTTAATGATCAAGCTGTACAGAAGTAAGTGTAAGGGTGTTAGAAAAGGGCTGATGTGACTTTATTCATGTTTTTTTCTTCTGTATGTTTCTGTGGCTGTGGCTCAGCGGTTGGTGTTTCACATTCAAGCTGCGTTGCATCCCTGCTGCCGGAGTGAAGCCTGAGGTGCATCCTCAGAGGACCGTGCCCTCGTTACTCCTCAGCTTGACTTTGGGTTTCACAAAGCGAGCCCTTTGTTTACGCTGACAGGATGTGCTGGCCACTGACCTGGAAAAAGTGCCCAAGACGGGCTGTCTTGTAAGGAAGAGGGAGGCTGGTGATGTATGGGCTCCTTCTGGGACCTTTCATGGTCCCGCCGTTGGAGACACCCAACGATCCCTCTCCCCTGCTCGTCGTCTCCTCGTTCTCTTCCTCTCCCCCGTTCCTCTATCTGTCTCCGTTCCCAACTCCGGTTCGCGCTCTCAGCCCATCTAGTCAGCAGCGGTTTTGGATGAGTCTCCCCACACCACGTTTTCCCCCCTGCCTATAGCCACTGGGGTCATTCATCATTAATGTCAAGGGGGTAATGTGTGTAGGTGGGTGCAGAGATCTATGACTTCTTCATTTGAATGAACCTCATTAGATTGACTCTTCTTTGTAAAGGATCCCTTTAGAAAATAACTCTGGCAGTTATTTAGGTGATTCTCACATGATAGCCAATGGAACATGACGTTTCAGCCAAGCATGTTTGCTCGAACGATTGAAGAGTCTCTGTGATGCAGTCTGCAGATTTTTTTTTTTTGACTATTTTTTTTCCAAGCATGCCTGCATTTACATAGCAATGAAGTGTAGGACCTTGAAGTTGACTTATGGTGCCCACATATTGTCAGAATGATGCAATTTATTTCCTTAAAGTGACTATTTTGCTTATTTACAAAAAATAATGTTCTGTTTTACGGGTTGGGTGTGGATTTAAATGAACTGTAATTTATTCCTCTTAAAAGTTTTTCTTTAAATTACAAAAAAAAAAAAAGAAGAGACTGATGCTGCAGGTATTTTCAGTTTACCTGTTTCTTGCTTATTGTAACTATTCTAGGTTTGCTTTCTGTAGAAAAACATGGTCCAAATGTAATCCCAGCTTCATCAGTGAAGCACATAGAAGTTTGGTTTCCTTATTAGAGCAGATTCTTGTCAGGGCATCTTTAATCAGCCTGGTCCCAAGGGATGGTATTTTTAGCCACCTTTTTTGGAGGCTAAGACTTTACCCGCGCAGAGCACTAATGAGATGGAGCACAAGTGTAGGCAAGCGTTAATTAAGGCTAGTATGCAAAGGAAGAAGGCAAAAGCAGCACGCCCATGGCATACATACATTAACTTTATCCCACCTCCTTCATACATTCTTTTTCTCTCCCTCTCTCACTCTCTCTCTCCTTGTTTTTTTTTCCTCCTGTTTTTTCCACATAGGTTGCACAAACAACAGATGGCTCCGACGCCGACCTGTGGAAGGACGGCTTATTCAAATCCAAGGTCACTCGCTACCTTTGCTTCTCCAGGAAAACTGTAAGCATGCAAACTTCTCTTCTTCCTCATCCAGAAGAGCTTCTCAGTTTGCCTGCGGTTATTAGCGCACCTCACCGCTAGTGGAATATCTTAATGCACTTTGCACTTTGATCAGTGAAAGTCCCACTTTAAAAAAAAAAAAAAAAAAAAAGCGGGCGGCACATTGGCAGCAGTTTTGAATTTTTTACATATAATGGATTTGCATGCGTATTTGAAATGAGTATCACCACAGAGAGATATTTTTTCCTGTTTATGCCCTCTCGAGCATATTATTTATGTTTATTCATGAAATAACAATGAGCTGCATTTTAACTATTCCAATTTATTCAATCAACACTATCCCTGTGGAGAAAATTGTTACCACCAGACTATGATTTTTGAAAGATACACATACATCAGTGTTCAAAGTGATAGGAGTGTGTTTTCAAGAAGTGAGTAAAGCTTAAAATCCTAATCACAAGTTTTATTTAGAAACACAGAAATGGATTGGGATTATAGTGCATTTCATTCCAAATCCAAATGTGAAGAGGAATGTCTCAGTCAGTTTGGGATGGCAAGCCATCCTGTCAATCTATAAGTATTTCCTCTTCACCTTAAGATGACTCAACACGTTCATGTGTTTTGATGTATGAATCTTTGTGATAAATAGACCTATTTACACAACTACCAATATTCCTGTATCAAGATACCTAAGCCAAGATGTTTCACACAATCCTGTGACTTGAATTGAGTATTCAGAGGTTTTCTAAGCAAACCGCCTGCTGTACGTTGGTCCAAAAAGTTCAGCTTTGCTTTCATTAGTGACACATTACCATGTATCGTGTGTCTTCAGGAGTTTGTTACAGGTCTCTGACTACCTTTACTTGCCCCAGATGAGGGGTCTGCTGAATAAAACATACAGCTGGTAACATTACATGACCTTTTAATTTTTTTTTCATAACTAGCTACTAGAGAGGATTTGTTGCCTTTTTTGAAGAACCACCATTTTATTTCTGTTTAGAGTTTAAAATGAAGAAAACCCAAAAAGAGAATTAACACAGTTTTTTTTGTAGAATGTCATTTGTGGAAAAATGTGTAAAAAAAAAAGTAATAGTTTTAAACATACCGACAACACAATTAGAATTGGAAATATGACTGGTAACTTTAGATGTCTCTCTGTTTAGGAAACAATAATTCCTTTGAAAAGCATTTATGATTATATCTATTTTTAAAAACATTAGTAGGTTCTTAATAATGCTTAGTTATTAAAAGCCAGCATAAAATCTCCTGAGCCACAAGTTGCAGGCCCATACCCTAAATAATCGCTTGAGTCATTGCCATTTTTGCTATTCTTCTGTGTTTTGAAATAGACGCTTCCAATTTAAATTGTTTGACATTTTAAAAATAATTTATTTTAGTTGAGCAGCCTAAACTTTTCTTTTCTTCTGATAAAAAAAAAAAATCTCGGACCGCCCAATTCATTTAGAGGAATGCATTTTAACAATATCTTGTATTTAAACACTACTGCCATCCTAATGACATCACTGGTCAAGCTCCACATTGCTATTTCTCTGAACATGTTGCTTTCAATTAACGATTCTGCAACACTGAATCAGCAGCATGCATGGCATGGTCTGTTTGGTCTGCTGGTTTTCTATTACTCCACTCCACCAACAAGTTAGCAGCTATAAAGACATATAACTTCAATCAAGTTGGACTGCTATTGTTTTGAACACAATTCTATATCTTAGAAATGTGAATATTCTTTCTTTTGGCAGGGGTAAGGGGGTAAAACTGTGCTGGAAAAAGCAATTTCAGTGTAGTTAAGGCCATATATAGAATTCCCAATTTGAGCAGCCATGACTCCTCTGTGTCTAAAATGATCTTTACATTACATTTCCACATAATGTGGTTGGGTCATTTTTGGACCCTTCGCTTGCCTGCAGTCAAGAGTTGATGTGTTTCTGCTTGGCTGTCAGCTGCTCTGTGGCCATAAATACACCTGCTTACAGCGCCAGAGCCACCAGCCTGTCCAACCCCAGCTCATGCTATTGGATGTCTATTAATTAAGTTTCCCTGGCTTGCAGGTGGATAATGCAGACAGCATTGTAAACAAAACCTGAATTTTTTTGTTATTACTTTGCATCAGCTCAATTTTAGGACTTAATCAAGTCATATTTTTTCTGTATGTCCTCTAAAAGCCAGGAAACTTGGCAGGCTGAGCACAATTTGGCCCCCAGTTTAGTATATAGCATGCAAATGGCCTTTCCCTAGTTCCTGCGTATTATCTTAAAATGTCCGTCCACATTGTTTTAAAGGCTTTGACACAAATGAAACATGACAGAACCATCAACAAAGGCTATTTTGTCTGCCAGTCATTGGAACTCCCACTGTAATTGTCTATGACAAAAACAGATTCTGCAAAATTAGCTCCTGAATTATTTGGAGGGGGAGGTAAATAGTTTGTGATTTATCATACTCTAGGTTGAAGGTAGATAGCCTTCTTTTGTCAGGTTGTGATGGGGAAGAAAAAATATCCTGGAAAAAAAGGAGAGAAAACAATAAAAAAAAAGAAGCTTCATGCATTATAATAACATTCATCCATATTCCTCCTTACGTCAGTGTAAAAACTATGAATAAAAAATGCCTCTAATGGTAATGACAGTCGAGGAGCTGCGAGAGTGTAATCCAGGCATTTTGGACGCATCAAGTCACGCCTGGCTCGCCCCACTCCTTGCTGCCGCTGTGTATTATTGCAATTTATTATGGCAAAAAATGAAAATGTAATGGGAGGCAGGGAAGAGTCATGCTTGAAAATGTCAACTACACAACCCCCCTGATTATTTTTAACTAGTTCAATTCTGTTGATCAGAGAGTCCGCTCTGTCTCCCATTATTACACAACTTCTATCCCTGAAAGGTTGAAAATGATTGGAAGTTCAGATGCTCCTCTCAGACCAAGAATAGGTTTCTATAGCGCAATTATTAGGCATGTTGCAAACCATTCTCTTTAGGAGCTTTTAGTGTATTAGTAATCTTATTTACCTTTTATTCTAAAAGGTAAATAAGATTGCGTAATCCATGTATTGTTTTGGAAAATGAATTTGCATAACTGCACACGTTTTGTTTTTTTCTTCTGTTTTCTTATCGCCCGCTCTTCGGTTTTAGGAGCCTGAAGTTGTTGTGGATATGAAGCTGATTGACATCAAGGACCCGGTGCCAGAGTCCTTCACACCTGTGCAAGAAACATTAGACAAAAGTAAATAAACAGTAAGCAGTCAATGCTAACCACAGGCATCCTCCTTCTCCTGTTTTCCTTCTTTTTTTTTTCCACTCTCTCCGACCAGCTTTTGCGGGGGGTCCTCAGAGGCAACTTTGCTTGAGATAGTAAATGTTTTATGGGTGCAGGTTAGCTTAATTTATGGCAGACTGTGGGAATAAAATAAACATTTTGCCCCGGAGGTACAAGAGAGGAGAATCATGAGTCATTGTTTATCTCAGCTGGAGCTGGGCTTTTCTTTATGAGTGGCTTATTTATTTATGTATTTATTTGGGAAGAGGACCAGTAGATGGGGGTTTTCTAATATTAATGAAATGCATTCCCCAATGCTTTAGTGGGTTTTGAGTGCTACGTATTTCCCCCTACCTTCTTCCATCTCATCCAAGCCTTGAAAATGTAATAATATTTTGGTGTGTGCAGTGAGGACAGCTTGTTTATTATTTTTATTATCATTGCATTTACACAGCACTTCCTTGTGTTGCTGAGGAAATAAATGAGCAAGGCACAAATGCAATATAGAAAAGCATGGCGATGCTTTTTTTTTTCTTTTTTTTTTGCCAGAATGAGGGAAAAGAGATTATGTTTTCTTTGGCTGTGTTGTAATTTAATGTTTTATTACTTTAAACGAATCCATGTTTAATGTATATATGTGGCATTATGTATGAATCCCTATCCAGAATATCGAGTTTAAATCCCTGTCGTGCATTAAACTTGATGGAGAATTCACTTTCGTCCGTCATTTTACCTAGAGAAATGATAAAAATGATAATAATGCACGCATATTTTGTGCCTTTCCAGTGTCCAGTCAATTCCCTCAGAGCACAGTAAGTCAGCCAGAAACACAGATAAGACAATTTCCTTTTTCTGGCTTATGCATAACTAGGAGTTTTATAAATATTCAGAGTCTTGCAAAGGCATTAATTTTCACATTTTTTTCCTACTTGTTACAATCACAAACCTCTATGTGTGTCGTTGGGGTTTAATGTGATGAACACAAAGTTGTGCATAACCAGAAGTTAATAGAGTGCACCTGTGTGTAAAATCCAGCCGCCCCGTCAAGATCTTAAGCAATAAATACTTTCACTTCATTTTTAGAAAACATTAGTAGACACACAGCATTCCATGTTATAAAACGATATCTCAAGCTTTGAACATCTCATAGAACTTAAAATTTTAATCAATGAATGGATCAAAACAGCTTTAAAAAAATGGATGGATAGAGAATGGTACAACTTTAAATGTACAAAACCATTGCCGACTATCTAGTGACAGACCAGGTAAGGAGAGAATTAATCAAAGAAGCACCCATAGTCCCTTGGTAACTCACAGCTCATCTATTAAAGGGACAAACATTGCTACACTCCAAAATCTGGCATTTATGGGAGATTGGGAAGAGGACAGGCATTGCTGAAAGAAAACCAAAAGAAGTTTGTGACAGACCTTGTAGAGAATATAGTATGTAGCAAAAGAGAGTCAAATAAAACTTTTTGACCAAACACCATCCTCACAAAGTGACAGCATAATAGAGTGGTTTAGAGCAAAAACATATTCATGTATTAGAAAGGCCCAGTCAAAGCCCAGACTTCAGTACAATCAAGAATCTGTGCCTTTAAAACTGAGGATCGCAGACACTTAACACAGGCAATCATTTTATTGTCTAGATGAACAATACAGGCGGAGACATGCCCTGAAAGTCTTGCAGCTGTAAATTTTGCAGAAAAAAGTTGATTTTCAGAGCTATTGACTCAGAGGGGTTTGAAACAAAAGCACAGTTCACTTTTCAGATGTCTTCCAAACGCTTTAAAGATCAAAACTCCACACAGTTAGTCAAAAGTACTTTGTGTTGGTCTGTTATATAAAATCCCAATAAATTACATAAAAGTTTGTTAGTTATGATGTGAAAAAATGTGTGAAAGTTGAAAAGTTTGAATACTTTTGCAAGGCTCTGTACAAATATATATATATATATATATATATATATATATATATATATATATATATATATATATATATATATATATATATATATATATATATATATCCAAGCTCCCAGGACACAGAAGTGAATATGCACTAGTTCCTTCTTGACACGCTCACATGTACATGACTTTACTCATCAGAAGAAGCTGCCATGAGGAAGAGGAGGCTGTGTGTGAAAATGAGCACTCGTGAGGCTGCCGAGACAGCTGTATGTGACATCCAGATCACCGCCAAATCCAAGTACCAGCTTGTTAACTACACCTGTGTGGGGTGAGCTGAAAGTCGCTGGAAATGAATGAAATCAGTCACTAATTTTTCTCAGCTTTATATATATCCAGATTTATTTTATTTTCTTTATTCTAAAGGTTCTATTATTAAGCTTACTAACTACACAAGCTTCTGCTTCTCATCTTGATGTTTTTCACAGAGAGATAAACAATATGGGATTATGGTATCGCATGGGAGACGTTCCTCGGAGTCAGTCATCTCACCAAACCAGGAGCGCTCCAAAAACCGACGCCCTGTACAGCGCAACAAGGTGCCATCATGCCGTGTTTTCTAACTTGTTGCTCAACTTTCCTCTTGTGCTTATCCTTCTTTTTTTCCCCCACACTCTCTGTACTCATGAGTCTTTGTTCCACCTCTGTCTGCCATGTGTACGGCAATGAAGACACAAGCAATTGATCACTACTGGGCAATCTGCCTCTGAGGGTCGTGTCTGGACAACAAGGCAGCGAGCGAGGGTGAACCGGAGAGACATTTCTAACTAGACAGGATTCCCTGAAACAACATCAGGAGTTCAACGAGGGCTAAACTCCTGCCATTTGTGTGGGGGTCGTCCCACGAGGCAGAGGAAAGGCCTCTCCTCCGACATGTTGCAGACACATAGGAGGAAGACGTGGCCCAGAGAGTTAGTGACAGCTGCAGAGGAAAGGGAGGAGAGCTCCCGAAATCTCCGCCATGTGGAGTGTGCACGCTTGTGGCTTCCTCCGCCTTGGGCCTCGGAGTGAACAGAGCGAACCTTTGTACTGTGTTCAGATCAAACAGCTGAATTATTTATCCCAGTCAAGAGCAGGGGATTTCCACAGCAAATTGTAAACAAACAATTGATAGACTCCTTTCTGCCGTGGTGTGCCGTTTTGGTGAGAGTGGAGTTTTGGCACAGCCCAGCTGAGGTGTTTGCCAAGCTGGAAGCGAAGTGTGCCGCCATCCTGCGCTGAAGCCGCTTAAAAAGCAGCACCGCGCCAAAGACCGGGAGGCAAATTCAAAACAGAGCGGCTGCTCGCATTTGGTCGCTGCTGTGGGATAAGAACAATAAACGGACCGTTTTAAAGTGGGAAACTGAGGCTTTTCTGACGAATCCGCTGCAATTTGGCAGTCGGATGATCAATAATCTTTGATGTGTCGGAGCTCAGGCCAATGCGCCCCCTTCACGACTTCTTCCTGGTAATCCTAAACTCTTTTGAAGCCCACTTTCAAGTTAGAGGTTGGAATAAATTGCACCTCGAAGCGACTCACTCCCACCCCTCCCTCCACCTCCTGATGCCTGCTGAGATCACAGGCTGCCGTTTTTTGTATTAACATTAAAATTCATTTCACAGACAGGGAGTCTTCTTTTGAAAGTTTTTCCATCCGTAAAACACTGACACATAAGGACGGGACCGTGGACGACTCAAACCGTGGCACCCTGTTTGACTGTTTCTGTGTCGTTACATACACTTCAGACAGCCATACACACAACCATAAATAGTTATGCTCCTTCTTTAAAGTCACAGATTGGATATCTTGACACAGTGGTTTATAAGCAGTTCCTCATCTCGTACCATTCCCTCAACTCAGCTGTGCTTTTATACATACTCATGAAAAGTCTCCACTCTGAGCTCTCCTCAGGCTTTCTGAGGCAACTTTAAGGCCTTAGCAGAGCAACACCTCTTAAATTTAAGTGCTCTTTACAGTCACTGGAAAAGATGTTTTAAATACAGTCAATAATGTGTAAATTTTTAATGACCTTTCTAATTTTGAAGGCGCACTGATCCCCCTTCTTCAAATCTCCCATTGCCTCAGGCAGAAGGAGCCTGTTAGTGTTGTGTACAAGCATAAAGCACAAATCTTGCTCCCTCCGTCACAACCCCCAGCAATGCGTAGTAGCTGCATCGTGTTGCATCATTATGGGATGCACAAGGTTGTTTCATCAAGGCAGATGCATTTCATTAGTACTGCTTCTCTATTGCTGGAGAAGAAGAGTGGTAAGCAGATGATCAAAATCCTGTCGTCAATAGTGTTAATTTTCGATCGTTTCAGCTTGCCATTATGATTTATTTTGCACATGCCTGAAAACTGAAAGGGGAAATATGAGCCACAATCTGTGAGGAAGAGCTGTTGCATCTTTTTAGTGATTTAAAATTTCATTCAGCAGCACTGGAATTATTCAACTCGTTACATAATATAGAGGAGTATAATTAATTACCATTTGTATGGTTAATCTGAAATGTTTCTATGTTAAGCTGCCATTTGTTTCGTTTCAAGGCAGAGGCGACACAGAAAATGCACAGAAGAAGGTGCTCCGTCTTCTTTAAGTGGAGACCGAAATGTAACTTGTCTGCAACCAAACATTATACGGTGTAAGACAAACCTTGTACATAGCCCCAAACAGATGCTATGCCAGGGGATACATGGTGGTGGCATTTTTATGTTGTGGGGAGGCAGAGACAATCTCCATCCATCAACTTCTTTTAAGAAAAATTTGAAGCATCGCTTTAGAAAAGGTTGATGGCGACTGCAAAATTCAAAATAACTTCCTTAGTTTTGTAAAAAGGTTTTTATGTTTGCATAAGGTGTTTTATGGAAAAAGCACAAAATGACACACATTTACCTCAATGAGTTCCAACATAGGGAATGCTCTGATCCACTGGTGGGTTGTCGCTTACTAGACGAATACAATTTTTAAGTCCAAACCTCTACATTTGGTGAGAGGACTCTCCATTTTTCTGAGATGTGTGGTTTATGCAAGCAGTGTCTTTGTGTTGTTTATTACAGCTATACAAAACGTCAACATTTGACAAAATCACACTTTTCATATCCTGGCTTAATCGCTCTTAACCACACACCCAATTTGCATTTTCTTTCTTTCGAATCTGTGAAAACATAGCGAATGTGACTGAACTTAAGTTGCTTTCAACAACAGAAACAGACAAAAATATTGACTTCCAGATGTCTAAAGCTGGAGACACATATACCAAAAGACTGACTGTTCTTACTCTGATTTGTTGAGTCATCTAAAACAAGTCTATGAATAAAATATAACAAACTGAGTCTAAACTCCTATTGTAGTCAAAGCATTATATTCTGCTTTACGTCTTTCGCCTTTTCGTCAGGCTGCTGCTCCAGAGACGATTAACTTGTTGCAATCAAATCTTGATTATGTGATTTTTTTCTTTAAACGACATAAAAACTAAATTTATTCTGTCAAGATACAAAAGGGCTAAGGTTCTGCTGTGGCCCTTCAACTAGATAAAACACTTTATCAGCACGCAGATGGTGAAATTAGAAGAAATATTTTGATGTGTTTTAGACTTTCATTATAATGTGTCGCTAAAATACCTCAAATATTATCACCAAAAGTTATGAAATGTTTGTCTTTTGTTTGTTTTTGTTTTTTTCTGATTTCCAGCACATAACTCAGTCACAGTGATGCACCTTGTGTCCATGCTCTGACCTGTTAACATAGGAACCTAAGACAAAAATAGTGACATTTCACACAAGCCGCCACCACACACCATACCGCTGATGTGAACCCAGCCAGAGAGCGGAGGCCTGTGAAGCTGCGTTTAGACCTCGTGTTAAAAGTCTCTTTATCAAGTCGGTACACGGCATTTTAAGCAGTGGCGGGCCTTTGTTTTGATTCATGGCCACAGCTAGATGTCAACCACTTTAGCTTGTTCTCTGTCAAGACAGGCCGTATCAGCCACTCCCCGACTCCATAATGTAAAGACGTCGCGCCATCCGGTCAGCGTTTTAATGTATCCTGTAAAGTATCTTCCCTCCTTCCTCCTCCTGACCAGCGCTGCCATTTGTTCTCCTGATAAAACTGTCATTGCTGAGGCTGATATCTGACCTCTACACTGACTGCTGGCATAAATTAGCCTTGTCCTAATATTGCAATTTCTTTCACTTCACTCAGAATCAAGGTTTTTGACATTTCTCTTAGAATAATAGGCTATTGTACACACGGCCACTTTTTAAATCAAACTGTACGGTGATAAAAATGTCAAGGCCAGTTTTTTTTTTTTTGTCCCTTTTCTTTATTCTCCCTCTCTCTCTTTGCATAGCTGGCTTTTTCAGGTGAAGTATATAGAGTGTCATCAGTGTCAGAATTGGCATTCATATCAATACTTTTAGAATTGCAGTCTTCTACCTGTCACGCTCCACACGATGGCGGAGCTCTGCTGGAGTATTGTATCAGCTTTCATTGCATGCTGGTTAACCAAGACTTGCCAGCGGAAGAGAAAGAGAGCAAGAGAGAGAGAGAGACACTGTGACTGTCTGTCACGAGACAGATCTTCTGTCTGAAGTGCTGAGGAACAATCCTTTCCAGCTCAATCTCGCTCATTACTTTGTGCTCAAGAAAGTTGCGAGAAGAAGCAGAGATCAAGCAAAGGGATGCGCGGCGATGCCAGAAATGATTGAATGATCAGGTGAGATCGCATGGGGGGCCTCCGAAATTCAGAGGGATCCCGTCTTCGGCAGCTGACACTGAGCTTAAAGGAGGATAATGATGGGTGAGAAAGCAGCTCCCACAAAGCAACAGTGCCGGTACTCTGGGGAAGGTGTGGAGCTGTTGTCACAGGAGAGGCTAGATGTGTGTCAAAACAAGAGCTTCCAGCTCTCTGTAATGCAGCTCTGGCTCCTCACACTCGGGGAGATTACTCCCATTCTTACCTCCCGTCTGACTGCTGCCTGCCGGTCCCCACGGTCTGCCTCACACTCTCTCTTTGCCTTCTTGTTTTATCTTTATAAAAATAAAAGTCCTTTCTTTATCCCGCGCTAAACAAAGATGAATTCGGTACGAGGCAAATCTGTATAAATTAGAGTTTGTGTCTTCAAAGTGATCCTTTGTGTTGCAGTTTTGCTTTTGCTGCACTAATTTGATTTTAACCTGGGCAGATTTCATGGGAACACAACACTTTTGATCCGCGCTGTAATTGCGTGAATATTTCAGGCCTTGTTCCCAGTTTTGCCATAATTTGATGAGGAACTCCGCTGTAATTGAATATTCAAATTAGGAGTATGTGTCAATATGGCTCTCCTTGCCTAGAATGAGGATTAATTGTTTTCAAAACTCCAGTGGCCGACATAATGTGGGCCCAAACACTGCTGTTGATTAGCAAATGCTCTTGCCATGTTTTTGTTTTAAGAATTAGTTGTCTAATTGATTTGCCATATGCTACCCTCTCCAATGCACCTAAAATTGTATTTAGAAATCAGCAATTTGGATTGAGATTTGCTTTTTTTTGTCTGTTTTTTTTTTTGGGGGGATGGGATGTTGTAGACTTAGAGAGATGGGAAACCAGCCTCCACAGTTCTAAAACAGAACTATGGAGGCTTTTAAATAATATATTTGTTAAATATTGGTATTATTCAACATCTGATGAAGAATAACAGTTTAAAACTATTTTGATTAGGATAGAACTAATCAAAATAGTTTTAGGCTGTCATTCATTGTTCCCAAGGCTGTTATGTTGATGTCAGGTTTTAATAATCAATTAAATTTTGTTCACAAATACTTTATTTACTCCGAATGGAAATTAAACATTGTCATTGCTAATCCACCTCTTTTGTTTTAGCCATTCCTTTTTAAATCTCGATCTGGCTGTACATTTAGAAAGCCAGGCAGAGAACGTTTGGGATATAACCTTTCCCCAAACTTTTAACTTTGTCCTTTTCTCTTTGCTCTACTGTCCTGCTCTGCATCCATAAAGCTTCCTTTTCAATTCCTCTGGGATTTGAGGTTGTAAATCAACAGCTCACTGTTCTAAAAACAATACTTTGTTGCCTTGGTTGTGCATGATAACAGCAACTACAGATGAAAATGTCATCTCAATAAATGATGGGAGTTGTCCAAAGTACCTATTTGTTACCAACATGAACATTTAACTGCAGAAGCCACCCTTAAACCCTAAGAGGGCAATAATGAGACAGTTTTAGGTCATGTTACTGAGTTAAAAACATTTACAAGAAAATTTCACAATTCATAGGCAAAATTTCTACAGCTTTTCTTCAAAAAGGTTTGGGGTTTAGTTACTCCTGAAGTCCTGGGCACTTGATAAGCCATGATTTACATGCTTAATTAGTTGAAAAGGTTTTAAATAATGAATTGGAAATGGCCTGTATTTGTATTGTGCTTCATAAAGCCCAGGGGTTCCCAAAGCGCTTCATGCTACTTTCAATCATGAACCAATTCACGCACACGTTTGTTTTTTAAAAAAATTAGTGGAATTTCAACGACTCCTTAGCTACTTAAGTCACAGTTAAAACACTAAAGTAAAACTTGCTAACAAGCTCACCTCCTTAATCCTGTGCTCTGGTTGCGAAAGAAAGAGTTTAAATACCAAGGTGTTGGAATTGACAGACCAGTTGAGCGAAGTCGTCTTAATAATGATTTGGAAAAAGTACAGTGGACTCCCTCCTTTTCACAGATAAAGCTATTTAGGGATATTTCTGAGGAACATGACCCCAAATTATTTGTGGAAAATCTGTCTATTTGGAGGGTTTGTCCTAAATCACATCTTAAATATTCAAAAGAAAATACAAGGTATTTTAACTTGCATTGTGCCAAGTTAGAATACCTAGGCACAATGCAAATTTGACACAATGTTGTACATCAGCCAGTCCAGGTAAACCATTTGTTTTTCTTGGTGCTGATTGAATCACAATAAAATATTATTGAAGCTTCAACGTTTTCAGAGGGGATCTCAGATATTGACGGCTATTAGTTATTTGCAGGGGACTTAGTCCGGTTGTATTTCCAATGTACAAAAAGAGCACTGTGTGTTAAAAATGTTCATTGAACATAAAACTTGAATAATTTATCCAAGCTTGGATAAATTTTAATTTTACAAAAAATCTTACAAATTATTCTATCAGTGTCAGAAAACATTTCATGAGCTCAGTCTTGTGTGTTTCCATTTCTAACATAAGTCTTAAAGCCATTTTCTTTGTTCCTTTGTTTATTCTGAGTATTTGAACGACAATAACAACATGTGCAGCAGAAGCCCTAAAAGACATTTCAACCATCTGGCTCTAGTTTATCTGCACATGCGATGTCTTTGTGCTTTGAAAGATGTGTACCTCTTCTTTTTTTTTTTTTTTTTCGTTCTCCAGCAATGGGATCAACCTTTGCGAGGTAAAAGAAGTCTGCGCTGAATGTGGCAGTTGTTCCCCACAAGATTGATGCCAACCTTTTAAAAATTCACCATTGGCCCGGATTTAACATGGCCAAATGCTGATGTAAATGAGGTGCAGAAAAGTCGACCCTTTCACTGCAAATAAATCTGAGTTGCAGGCTTCATCTCATAAATACCACAGCCTGTCACAATTCTTGTTTTATTGCTGTTGATGGAAATTATTGCGTTTATTTATCTCGTCCGGAGAGATAAAGCTCAGCGAGTCACAACTCAAGGTGTGACGCCCGCAGAATATGCAGATCTGGCCGTCGGCTTAAATTTAGTGAATGTTTTAGTTTACATGCCCCCTTTCTTCTTTAACAGCAACTTGCAAATCTGTTCGATCGAGCTTTTAAATGCAATTTCCAACTTCTCCGCATTATAATTTCATGAGTTCTGCAAACCCATCCTGGAAATAGTTTAACCTCCAAAGCATGTCATGTTAAGCAGCTCTCTCTCAAAGCTGTGATTTTTTTTCCCCCTCTCTCTGCCTGCTGCGGATTTATCGATCCGTGGGGGTGAGTCACAGGGTGTAATTCATGATAGCTTGATTGATGAGGATTTCAATCTTATATGGTTTGTTAACTTCAACTACCCACAAATTGCATTCTGTGCTGTTTTCTGTAATACAAGGCCACAAAAAGAAGAGTGAAAGAAGAAGAAGAAGAAAAAAAAGCTTGTCTTCTCTTTGAATAATGGAATCTCTCAGTTCCTCAGAATTAACAAGATCCTGCTCCAAAGGTCTGTTCAGGCCCCTGGGCAGCCGAGGCACTGTTGAACTTCTTCCATGTTTCTCCACTCTGAATTCACTTTCATTCAATGCTCTCTTTTTTGCTTTCCCAGGAGCCATTTGTGTTCAGAGGGAAATTATATTTTTGAATGCATTACTTCACAAATGTCCGAGATACATCTCTTGTAATAAGCTGTTTGACAAGCACTCTTTCTTTCTATCTTTTTTGACATTATAAGCTGTTTCTTGGTATATTTTATTGACTTTATTTGTTTGTTTTTTTCTCCCCTCCCAGCAGGATTGCCATCAGCAGGCCACAGTATCAGCAGCAGAACACTGGCATCTACACTATGACAGGTAAAAGATACATTTTGATTTTTGATGTCTTTGATGTTTCCAAATAAATTAATTGCACAAAATGTTTCAGGTGCAAAAAATGTTTGGGGGGAAAGGGCAAATTGAGGAAAACAGAAATCAGATTTCTGTAGCAGGTTTCTGGTCTCTGGTTTTTGTCTGGCTGAAAACATTTTCAGCTGATTCTGATTTCTCTCGTACAGCCATAATAGAACATTGTTATTGTTAATGTGAGTGGAGGTGACGTCACACTGGGTGTGTGAGAGAGCACTCTGCAAAGTGACTTAGAATTATTTTTAAACTATGGCATAATAAGACTCCTACAGGATGAAGATCCTTAACTCTGGGATTTCTGAAAGCCTTCCAACATTTCCAAATCCAGCCTGTTCTGTGACAGACAGAGGTTGGAAGCTCAAATGACCGATTGGACCGCAGACACATATTGATACGCCGTAGAAAGCATTGTTGTCTCTTAAGAGATGACTTTATGTCTGTGCTTCCTCGGAATTGTGCTTCAAACATGTTCACTGATATTGAAGCAAACCTTCACTATTCTTCAATTGGTACATGTATGAAAATATTCATGTTTTTAACTTTGCAACTTCCCTGTCACCGGTGGGGGTTGATTAAGCTGAAAATTTGCCAAAAGTGAATTTCTTGGCACATGTCTTTTTAAAAATGTTTTTCAAAAAAGTCACCCAGGATCTTTAAAAAAAAAAAACTGTTTAAACATTAAAAGTAAACCCTCCCCATATTGGAGTTTCTCAGAGACGGACAACGTACAGAGCTTTGCTTATCTCTGTGAACGTGACTTCCCAGAGGAGCTCGGCATTAACAGCTGTCAAAGATGATCCATCACAACTTGCACATGTACCTCTTGTGCACTGGATGCTTCTTTTGTCTTCGTCGGGGAGAAATTCCAGTCCTAACAACTACAATATGCCCCACGACTAAAACTCAAACAAAATAAAAAGGTAAATTTGGTCGAAAACAGCGCTTTGCTCTGACAGCCTCGGCACCACAAAACCAGAGTGGGCTGAGACACTGGAGGCTTTAAGTGTGTGTGAGCTGTGGCGGGTGAATGTGGCAGGCTGTTTTTTTTTTTTTTATCTAGCTGGAGAGAGACACCATGTGGTGAGGATGCCTCCTGCTGCTCCAGCAGAGCTGCACGCTTGCAATGGCAATGCTGCAACCCTCCTGATTAACACAAGTCTGTTTTTAAGCAGCTACCACAATCAAATATATTTCATATGATACACCTTTTATTCAGGATTTATTCCTAAATTAACCTAAAAAGAGAGAAAAAGCAGTTTCTTTCTAAAAGGAAGAAAAGAGTTTCTACATGACATCATTTAGTTTTGCAAGTAAAGCCCTGGCACACAGTACATTGTCACACTCCTGAACATTTTGTGGCTTTTGGTGTGGGATCCATCCACTGGGACGGGGATTGAGTGACAATGAGGAGGATACACATACTCCACACTGCACTGCCAGCACTTATCATTTATCTGCAGAGAACCTGTCCTGTCCTCTGCAGGTGCACACACTCCTGCCTTCTCCCACTCGTGAAAGGAGAGGTTTAAATAAAATGCAATAAGCACCACAATGAGAACACTTCTTGCGTTTCTTTTTTTTCTTTTTTTGTCAGACTGTTCTCATCAGCATCACTGGGAATGTGAAAAACACAACTTTCCTTCATTAACAACGTGATAGCCTGCAGACCAAGTGTGAGGTCGTAGCCGACAGCCTGTTTGTGATAATTGTTAGCCCAATAGAGCTGGTGAGTGTGTGTGTGTGCATGCGTGTGTGTGTGTGTGGGCTGACAGCTGGCCAGGTTTGAGTTGGTCTAAAACCATGTGCGCTCTGTCAGGGTTGTACAGGCGCCTTCTTTAGGATTGATGAATTGCCTGCTTTCTTGATTAAACCCTCCGTCACTTTCCAACAAAACAAAACAAAAAAAAAACAGAACAACACACACACACACACACACACAAAGAAAGGGTTAAAAAAAAAGAAAGAAAGAAAAGACGAGTTGAGAGGAGAGGTAACGTGTCTGGGAAATCTGTCTTCTGCAGTCACATCATGTTCACATGTGATGTGCAGAAGCTTTGACATTTATTACCCGAATATTAAAAACTAATTCACATTTATTTTGAAGCCCTCCATCACTTGACAGTTCAGGCTCATTTGAAAAGTTATCAAGTGTTCATAGCAGCACTCAGCCTCCCCCATTCCCCGCCCCTCCTCTCTCAACCTTTTTGCTTTCCTTCACCGGCATTGCTTTGATCCATGCCAACTCCCTCAGCCAATTAGGTCTATTATTTATGCTTTGACAGTAAATCTTGATATTTTGAAAGAGATTGTTTGTGCATTAAAAAAAGTCTGTCTTTGAGTTAAAAGAATGCAAATGCATTAGTTGAAAACTTCCACATTAAACTTCCTTCCACATTAATCCAACGTGCAGCCTGCATGTTGGATTGCAGGCTGTGTTTATTACCAGCTCAGCAATGTATAGCATTCGGCAGTCATCCACCTGATGAAAAGTTAAATCTAATATAAAGTAATGCATTTGCATATCTATAGCGTTAATCAAAAATAAACACTGACATTGGCCCTGATCTAACATAATATGGAGAGCAATTATTTCCCTATCCATTAGAGGAACTTCAATTAACAGACACTAGACAGACCATCCTTCAGAGAGGGAAAAAAAAATATATGGAGGCTCAAAATTAACTGGGGTTTGCAAAATATCTTGGCAGGATGACAGTGATTTTTGATTTTCAGGAAACAATATTAGAATTCTTATTAAACTATGTGCATCTGCTTTTAATTTGCTCCAAATAATTGGAAAATGCAATGGAGCTTTCCAATTAAAGTTCCACTTTATACTGTTTAATAATACCCTCATAATATTATAGCTTATGAAATGACAGGTGAGTTGGTGTATGAATAAAACATAAAGCCCTGTAATAAGAGACAGGGAAAAAAACCCAGAGACAGTTGTTGGGGGGCTTTTAAATGCTCCACATAATTTGCATATATTAATCTCCTCTTTTCAGCCTTATCAAGTATTCCACTGTATTTGAAGTTAAAATAGTCGTGACAGGCAGGGGTACGCTTCGTTTTTCCAAGGATTTATTACTTGTATAATTCTGGATCTTTAATAAGCCAATATGACTGATCCTCTGAGTTCTGTGGAATTTGGTTAATTGTTCCAGATGGTGCTCACTGATTATGCAAAATTACTTTCTTTCTCCTCTGTGTTTTTTTTTTCTTTCTTTTCTCCCCCACCCCTAACTACACGATTTCTTGATTGACTAACATGAAGAAAAAAGATTATTTTTGGCGCAGCACTTTCATTAAGAGGCTTCTCATCAGGTTTCAAACAAAAGTTCCATCTTATCTCCCCCGTGTAGTTCTGGGCCAGTCTGTGCAGAGGGAGGAGATCAGGCAGCTCTTATCTCCAACCATGATGAATCTCAACTGCTTCTGCGCGGCTCGGGTTATATTTTAGACTAACACAATTCTTTAGGCTGAAAGATTAAAAAACATAACCTCTGAATGATGACATAAAACTTATTATCAGTGTATACCATGCTCTTCTCACTCCTTTCTCCCAGTTTTACACGTGAGGGATTGATGAAATTACTAAGCAGTTTGTTCTGTCTCCCCCTTTTTTTTTTTTTTTTGCAGCTCCAGCTCTGTCCACGACTCGCTAACATTCTGTTTTGCATCAGCTAAACTGAGCTGAATGAATCATTTATGGAAGTGTTACGGGGGAGGCTCGGGCAGATTTACTGCCACACTTTTTACTTTAGATGGAAAAGGATTTCTATGAAACTGATCTTGATGTTTGAAGCGATGCCAAAGCTTGCATCAAGACATGAAAGGAATGCTCTTAAAACCCGCGTTCTGCTTCTTAATTTTCCTGGTCAGCAAAAGGGAAACTAGGGGCAGAGTGTTGCAAGGGAGAGAACGGTATTTACACGTAATGCACTCACGCGCACATACTAAAACAACCTCTTAAAAAATAACAATAATCTAATTCTAATAAATATATAATAAATATATAAAAAATTAATTCTAATAAAGCTGCAGCTACTAATTAGATGTAGCTTTTTGTGCTTCTTTTCATCATGACATAGCAGTTTAGCTTCAGTGAGTTAAGGTTAGATACTGCTGAACATGTAAGCATGATTTTTTCCTCCAGATGGTCTCCCAAAAAAGTTGAAATTGCTTCAAATCACCTAAATATGATAAAAACGGTTTTATCATATTTCATATTTAAAGTGTGAATAACATTTTCAAGTACCTTCTTGAAGCGATCACCCTTAGTATAAATAAAATTATGAATAATTGCATATTGGTCATTCAAGTTAACGTGAAGTGTATAGACAGTATTAGCAAATTCTACAAAATGGACTTAAAATGATAAAAGGAAAGAACAAAAAACACACAAATGCTACCCGTTGGTGTCACACATGTTTTCCTCTTTCCAGCTCTCCAGATAAGTCAAGAAACAAGTGAAGTGAAAATAGAAGGGAGCTTAAAGGCATTGGTCAAAATTTGGTTGAGGTGCAGTGATTGGTCAGAACAAAGCAAGTACAGAAAATGTTAAAATTTGTGTAAAATTTGCAATGACTTTTGGAAATTGCAAGTCCGCGTGAACCCTAGGGGTGTCATATGAGAAAAGAAAAATAAGTTATTTTATATTATTCCATTACAAATAGTCAATAGAGTAATAATTGATGACATTAAAATAATACATACAACACTTATTTTTATTGGTGACATGTTTTTTTTGTTTGCTTTTTTTTTTTTTTTTTACGTTTCCAGTGGTATTGTGCTCATCTGATGATGAGCTCCACGTCTTTAATGTCAGAATGCCTCCTTGCCATAACCCTAATCTTTAACTCTCTTCATAGATTGTCTCTCAAAAATATTTATTCTGACTCGACCGCTCCAAAGCATTGACATTTCTTCCAGTGAGAACAAAACAC